CTGGTTGAAGGTGGAATCGGTTCTGCATGTTGGCGCCACAACAGAAGGTCTCAGATGTCCGTGGGGCCGATCACGTGTCTGATCCCCCCCCCCCCCTTCTCTCTTTGCAGGGTAGGAATATGCTTATTTACATTATCGTGAAGTTTGAAGAGAGGATCGATACCAGCTGCTTGTTTATTATAAAATTATAGAACAACGTGCCGCAACAAGTCGACTTACAGACAAGCTGGCTTTGGTGTCTGCAAGACTGACCTACCCACATCCTCTAAACCAGGGGTGTCAAACATAAGGCACGGGGGCTAGAATTGGCCGGGAAAACCCCCAATCTGGACGGCTCTGAAAAAGAAAGAAAAATGGCAAAAAAAATTTGACTTTTAACTGTTTTCATACGTTTTACAGCTTTTTCCTTCCCCATACTATCATACTATCATACTATCATACTGTGAGCGATGAGCTGCCCACTTTATGATTTAGTTATAATTTCTTACAGTTTGAGCCCAAAGAGTCACACTGACAGATTTCATTTCACTTACTACAGTAGAAAAACTTTATCGTGTGGAAAAACTGATTTGCTCTTTAAATGTGTGGTTAAACTTCTTCACACTGACAGAAAGATGTTCCGCTGTATGTGGCCCACGATGGAAAATGAGTTTGACATCCCTGCTCTAAACTATTTAACTAAGAGGTTTTTTTGTTTTTTTTCTTTCAGTTGAAAACTTTAACCAGTGCTGGACACACATCGCTTTGACTAGCTCCCACAAAACCCCATGGCATAGTAAGTCCCATTTTGTGCTACACACAGGTGGGAAACGGGATCATGGAGCCCACATAATGACATATACTACAGGGTCCCCTGTGGGACGTGTCATTAATGCCTCCCTTTATAGCAGCGTATCGATCTTCTCGTTCAACTCCAAACAAGAAAAATCCAAAACGGTCCAAATTGTCATTTGGGATTCCCGGAGGTTTGTTTTTTTCTTCTGCCTGCTGGACCTTACACACACTAAGCCATGTTTCAACTGAATGTTCTCTTTCTGCACATTTAAACCGGCCTGCTTCTTCATAACTCGCACGACAACAACAGCTGTCAGTGTCACACACTGAGTCTACACGGGATCCTTTGTGAACACAACACACGACACAAAGCACTTGCAGTAAAGATCTATCACAAAATGTGTACTCTATTGCACCAGTGATGTTATTATTATAATGGCATTCTTTTCCACGATATTATCAAACGACTTCTATCGATATATATATATACATACATATATATATATATATGATTTTTCTCCGGTTGAGAAGAATCGGTGCACACTGACTGTTAAATCTCCTGTACCATTTTGTTTTTCTTATCTGATCTCTGTGTGTGTAGAAAACGCCATCGTTCTTGTTGTAAAATTGTGTTTACTGACAAAGTGCGTTCTGGTGCTGTTGTTGTTTGACTCGGTGTAGAGTTTAGACCTTCTCCAGAGCGATCTGTGTGACTTCAAGTTTCTGCAGGCGTCTGGTTATAACTGAATAAAGATTTTTTGGCAGCTGTTTGTTAGCTGCTGTCGGTGTGTCGTTTCTCCTGAATGTGGCGCTTCTGTGTGAGTGCAGTTTAACCACACGCTTTCTGATAACACAAAGCGTTCCTTAAGATTGTTTATTGGAAATAATGTAGGTCAATTCTACAGATCAATTTTAGAGTTAGTACATTTCTAACAAGCTCAATATTTGGTATGACATCCTTTATTCTTCAACACTGCTTGGATAAAAGAGTTTCTTGTGATTTCTTTAAGAATAGTTTTCCAGGCTTCTTGAAGCACCTTCGGATGTTGGCTCCCTTTTGTTCTGTTGTCTGATCCCACACTGCTTCGGTAATGTAGAGCCCCGAGCTCTGGGGAGACCAGTCCATGACAGATATGGTCATTATGTGGTTTTCTGTCTAATTATGCTATTACTGTATTGACCATGAGTTTGGGATCATTCTCATGCTGACAAATGAAGATTTTGCTGACCTGATGCCAGTATTACATAGTGGATCAAAAGAAGATTCCCTTCACTTCCCCATTTCTTAAGGACATGACTTTCAGATACTGTTCAGCTGCTGTAGGCAGATCAGGCCTACCAATACTACTTTTGTCCTCCACTTGTCCAGTTTCCTCAAATTTTTTAGGGGACAATGTGCACACTGTGCTGAGATACATAAGTTCTCAGTTAATGGCTCAAAAATACTGTTTCATGGCAGTGAAACTATGACTCCACTAAAGAAATTGGAGCAAATAAGTCTTTGTAACCAGCTGCTGGTGACAAAATGTGTAAAGATACAATTTAAACTTCTTTACAAAGTTGTCTGTACACTGAATATTGCTTCATCCATATTTTATGTGGACTTGGGTCAGTTTTACGTAGCTTAAACAAATATTTCTCTGAAAACGGTCAGGCATGAGGACTGGATTGAAAATGAGTGAAAAACAAACAAACAAAAAACAGCCAACGTGTAAAGAAAACCTTTGAAAGCCTGGGGAACTATTGCTCGAGACCACTTTACAAGAAAGTCTGGCTCCTTGGAAGCAAAATATAAAGAAATGAGGGGTGACTCGAGACTTTTGCACAGTACTGTGGTAGGAATAACAATCAAATACGAATACCAACTGCTTTGTTAGTCATATTATTGCAGTCAACTCTAAATTTATACTTCTCATTTCACCGCTGCTGTAGCCCAGACTTCAGGTCTGATTTAAACGCTGATCAGATCAGTATTTTCAACTTTTTCCAACTCCAGTGTCACTGAAACTGCTGTTTATATATATTTAGAAGCCGGTTACAAACATTTTAGGCCTATCCTCTCCTCTGACTTCCTCACTTCTCCTACATCTCCCCTCACTGTGTCAGGCAACAGTAATGACTGTGAGTCAGTTCAGCAGCAGGCTCCAGGCTGTCTGGGCCGGACTGAGACGTAAAAGCACCACAAGCAGAGCTTCTGATCTTGGCTGCCCTCTTGTGTTCAGTTGAGGTATTGCACCTCTATAATATTTGTGTATTTAATGTAAAATGACGTCATAGAAACTAATGAATAAACACAGTAGGGTAAGCAATGTTGCCTGAGTGACTCCCCACTCCTCCCACATAAAGTCAATGAGCACTGAGTCAGGTTACTTCAAAAGTCTTTTAATTAGAGTGCATTTCTTGTCTCCATGGTTCCATTCATGAACAAATGTGTTTGTGTGTGTGTTGAGTAAACGACTCCAAATAAAAGCGCCTCAGATAAAAGGCTGCAACAAATTTGCTCATGGCTGGATAGCAGTGTTCCCGACCCTTGGTCTGCATGGCGACGTTAACGGCGAAGGGCGAGCTGAATCACACGCACGATTGGACCACCAGCAGGAGAAGACTTGCACAAGGTTGGTCGTGCATCCAGAAGAGGGGAAGGGTTACAAATCAGTAGTTTAGTTACGCTCACGTCTCAGAGGAAGCCCTGGCTGACTCCACCCTGGCTCTGTTCGCCCTTTGAGGTTCATTGAGCCTCCATCGTCACCCGTGGGTAGCACGCAACTCGATTCATTCATTGTTCAGCAGTTCAATAGTTTCTAGGATGTGCAGGATCAATAGTGAGCTGAAAACAGTGGTCACTGAAGATGCACCACTAAGTTTACCTTCAACACTCAGAAATGGTGATTGATCTCTGAAAGCAGCATTTATTTGTTTTACCCAATACTGTATGTACCTGTGCAGTCTGCCAAAACTCTACCACCAGAATTTTAGTTATTTATGCAACTTCCCCCCAAAAAGCAGGAAAAAGCCTGTTGAGCTTAGTGTGCATATTCAAAATAGGGAGGGAAACCTTCTCTGTTACAATATTATTTCATATCAGTGAAGTATCCTCTTGCTAGGCCTTTTATCACGCACAGTGTGGGGAGGTTTAGGTGTTACCTCCCACGCAGGAACAATGAAGTGTTTAAATATTGACTCTGGCTCTTTTTTTCCCTCTTTCACCTCGGGTCAAGGCTGAACCTTGACACTGTGTTTGCTCTATCTCTGTTCCGCTGATCTTGGCAGTTTTCCTGTAACTATCTGAGCGTGGAGATCGTTCTCTGACAACATCATCACAAAGGCAAAGAAAGGGGGGAATTTTTGTGTGTGTGTGTGTGTGTTTCACCCCCATCCTGTGCTCTGAAATTCCTATTTTCGAGTCGGTGTTTGCACTTGGGAAAAACTGACTAATTTAACCCACAGTACTCGCACCAGGTGTCACACCCCTATGACACTGAAAGGCATACATTTTTACATTTGTTCTTTGAACGCAGTGTTAAATTACTTTGCAATCGTGCTGTAAGAAAAATTAAAGAAAAAAAAAAGAAGCCCAAAACAAGGTAAACTTAAAAAGACCCCGAAATGGAAGCGGAGCAAACGAGTGCTTCTAATAATAACAACAACAACTAACACATAACACAGGGCCATGCAGGAGCTAGGAGCCTACAACTGCCTGGGTCACATACCAATGTGTAAATCCTTCATAAACGAGTGAAAACTTTGTGCAATTTTCTACTCTCCAGAAAAAAAACAAAACAAAAACACAAAAACTGTTACGTTTCTACAGAAAAAAAAAAGATAAATTGGAGCATGTTTGGCAGGTTAGGCAGAGGCATGAGGAGTGCGAGAGGGAGAAGATGAAGGGGAAGAGGAAAAGTGGCACAGCAGGGAGGATTTCTCCCACAGTGAGCCTGAAGAGACTCGAAGATACACAGCAAAAGACCACATGCCTGCGCCCATCCCATGCTTTCACTTTCCGCGGTGGTTAACAAGTGAGAGCACGTGTCATGAGAAAAGATCCGACAATTAGATCACAAGGAAGGCTGGGAGTGTGGGGGGGAGGGAGTCACTGGTTTCCAATAAAGGGAAACTGGCACGCAGAGTTTAGGGGGAGAGTGTAGACGGCCCGGGGGGTTAGAGGGTCGACAGAGAGAGCGAGAAGGGGCTGGGGAGGGCTCAAGAGTGGTTAGGCCCTCTCAGTGCATCGGCTCCTCCTGGGAGGGCGAGTTGTCTGGCTGATTGAGCGAAGCCTCAGCGGTTGGAGAATCACCGCCGTCCTGGATGCCGGTCTCACTAGTGGATGGTGATGGGGTCATCTTGGTCTGAGGCAGGAGGAAAGAAAACAACGTAGGTTTTACTCTGATGGAATTACAGCTACTAGAACAGAGAGCACACACCAGCATCTGTGCAACCAATGAAATGAATCTCACTTTGATCCGCTGACTTTGATCAGGCCTCGTTTATTAGGCTGTGGCAACATTTAATGTTTAAAATAAAGGAATATTTAAGTGAAGCCATCACCTTTTAAAAAAGCAGCACTGAGAGCGCGCTCAGCTTTAAGATAATTAACTCAACTTAAAATGTTTGTTTTACGGCTCTGCACGCTAAATCCCAAGATCAAAGATTTTCTGCAGCATTAAACTCGTCACATTTAATGCAATATGTTGCATTTTACTGCTATATTTTTATAATCCCTGCATATTTTTAACCCTCATTTTATGATCATCGTCTGACAACTTCTCAGATTTGAGGCACTCGGGGGGATCATTTTATGTGAGTGTGCACAGAAGCTGTGCTTCATATCCTTTGTAGTGGAAGGTGGGATATTTTCTGACTCATCCAGAGCACAGAAATGTGTTTTTCTCATCATCACTAACTTAGACCAGTGCACAGTGGGTCACTAATTGGGATGATGAGATAATTGGGATCCAGCTACCTGCAGTCAGTGATATCTTCTAGGCCCGCTACATAAACAGGACCACTAACATCACCAGATACCCTGCACACCGTCTCATCAAACTCCTGCCATGCGGTAGGAGATACATCGACATTCAGTCACACGCAACCAGGCTGAAAACAGTGATACATGACCCTTAAATTACTCTGGGAACTTATATTGCACAACATTTTTGTGACCTGAATGAGTCAAATAACGTCACAGCTTCCACTACTAAGGATATGAAGGACACTGAATAAAGCTTCATAAAGCTCCTGTACCCCTAGTGCTGGGCCCAAGCCTGGATAAGTGGCAGGACTGATTCAGGGAGGGCATCTGACATCACTTACTGGTTTTTAAGGCCTCGAATTGAGCATTTTGACATCCACTATCTTATTTTTATTATTTAAACCAGACACGTGGAGCAACAGATGGATCTAACTAAGAAACCAAGGACACCGCGTGCTCTCAGAAGCCACAAAGGCTCACTTTAAATCTTGATTAAAAAGCTATTTAAGAGCCGAATTCCTCTTTTCACGAACACTGAAAAGAGAGGACGAACTGAACGCGACCTCATTACTGCGGCGTGACGCCAAAATGCAGTGGGATACAGTTTGTGCGCAGAATAATGGTGCGTTTCTGACTCCTAGCCATTCTACATCCACACAGGCACGTCTGCAGACGGCATCAAGGTCCTTTATCCAGCCGTTACCTTCAGAGTCTCTACTTTCTCCTCAAACGACCTGAAGGTTGGTGCATTTCTGTGAAAGGAAAAAGGCAGAAGACAGAGAGGAGAGAGAAAAAAAAAAAGAAAGATGACTGAAGTTATCAAACATAATCACACCCAGACGAGATGCAGACACGTCTTCCTTTCAAAAGGAAAATAGAGCAGGACACCCACTGCAAGCACAGCCTTTAAAGGTCATGTTATCTGATACTCGATACACACAATGCGGGATTTTCTAAAGTGACCCCATTCTTCTCTGTTCAGCTGAGAAAGTGCTAAGAGGGCTTGTTTTTCATGCAAACACACAAAGGGAATACAGAGCGAAGAGGGCGAGAGGACAGTCTTCCGAAAAGCCTCTCGTGTGCGTGCGCTCTCGAGCTGAACTTTCGGATTCACCGGGAGAAATTTCTGATTATATTTACAGACCAAATAAGAAATAAAGTTCTTTCAAAACCTGGTTACGTGTGTGTGTGTGCCCAGGTTTTGTGAAAGCAGAGCCATATTTAGGGCAGAACATTCTTTCCAAGTGCAGAAAAACAAAAACCAGGCGAGCAGTTTGTGCAGGTGGGCGTTTCCCTGCATCTTCATATTTTCTTCTTCTTTTTTTTTTTTTAGATTTCTGTTAAACCTCTGAGCCTGACGAAACAGCAGCGGCCTGGCGGAGCGAGATTATTAAAGCTGCAGCTTCACTGATAGCAGATAAAGTGGCTTTCACCAGCGGTCTCTCGGTATTATTAGGGTACGCTGTCAGGCCTTATTTTATTTAACAGGAAACACGCTCTCTGTCTGTCTACTGCCGCCCACAGACACTGAGCAGCCTCCAACATTCACACGAACTGGTTCGGGTTCTCTTACCTCATGACGGGCATGCTAGCCGAGTGCTGCAATGACTTTACGCTATCCGACAGCGTTATTGAGGAGAAAAGAAGGAAGTGTTAGTGGTCATGTTAGCACAGCAGCAGCAGAGCGTGCACAGAGCGAGAGAGCACAACATACAGCACAAACCCTCGTTTATTCTACCGAGTGCATAAATCCTATAAATCCCACTTTATCCAATTAAGATTGATTGTGTATTAACACAGCGGGTACGTGTTAATCCTGCGAGTTATGGGTGAGTATCATGTCATCAAACGCACGCACACACAAAAGGACAACACATGCACACACACACACACCCTTCTGACCCCTGTCGGGCCCTCAGTAGCCCCCACCCCCCCATGGCAACCAGCCCCGAGTCTTTGAGGCTGCTCTTCTCAGCACACTGCAGCTTTGAGAGGACTAATAATCTTGTTTGCGGCTCAGTAATCCAGAGAGAAGAAGGATGACAGGGGAGGGGAGACACGCTAAGACACGAGAGGGAGGATCAACAAGAGATACATCTCAAATGCAACAATCTGCTGTTGATTTTTTTTTTAAGCCGGGTTTAATCAGGAATAATTCACAGGAAGTGCTGCGTTTGGTGCTCTGAACGCACAGTTTGACACCTAACCCACCGGGACATATGCCCTTTAATAAGAAGCTGGTCAAAGTGGTGCAACAGGCTAATTAGATTTGAATAAAACACATTAGTGCATAAAAACACCCCTGATTTCAGTTCATTCTGCAGAATTTGATTTAAAAAAAAAACATGCAGGAAAATGTCCAAGTTATTCATGCAAATTGAAATCGATCAGAAGAACGACCCCTGCAGTCCCACATTCAAACACATTTCACAAAGATGGTATGAAAAGAAAAATAAGATTTATTTCTTCTTTAACTGGCCTTAAATAAGTGAGCAGTCTTACCCAACTTTATTAGACGTATAGTGTGACCTGCAAAAGCCAAGCAATGCTGTAAGTTACTAACACTTCTGCTGCTTCTATGCTGATTATCGCACATTTCTCATTTGTTTAACACAAAGAAAGGCAGAATATGAATATACAGGAGATATGGAAGCCACTGCTTATGCTTTAAACAAAGATGTGTTTCATGTGGGCCTGCGGGTGCGTTATGAACGGAAGCAGGCGAGCAGTCTCACACTGCCCCCCAGTTTTAAAGTTGTCACCTTAAAAACATGTCCTGACTCGGAATCTTGTTAAAATGAGTTTTGTTAGTGGTTAGTAAAGAAAGACAGGAGTGTGGTCTCTTAAACGCTGAGGAAGGACAGAAGGAAAAGAGCCCGCTACAGGAACACATTTCTATCACATGTGATATGATGGACAGGTGCAGCACAGCGGAGCCATTTTTACTGTGGCTTTTCAAAGGATTACAAAATATGATTCGCTGACATCTCCCCGTCTGACTCACCTGACATCCTCGAGCTTCCGGGTGATGGCTGAGCCCATATTTGTGAAAGCTGCTGTAGCCTTCAGACTCGCCTGAGACAGAGTTTCAGAAGTCCTCCTATAGCTGAAACAGAGAGAGAGAAAAAGGAGTGATGGGCGGCCAAAAAAAAAAAAAAAAGGATATGAGTGTGATGAAAAGAGACTGAAGGATCAAAGCCGGAAGAGACACGTGAAGGTCAGAAGTAAACTTCAGTGTCTTTTTCATTTTAAAGAAAAGCCGGAGAGCATCAGAATGCTGCTCATTTCCTTCAATGTGAATCCCATCGAACCATTTCAAACAGGCCACAGGCAGCCTGTCAGGAGCACTGACAGCTTTCTCGTTCAGCGCAAAAAGAGCGTTTTCTCCACAGCGCTGACAGTTATCCGTATTTTCAGAGCAATTAGAGAAAGCGTGCAGGGTTGATGCATAAGAAAGCTCTCGATCAGGACGGGAAAAGGACAAAAATACTACAAAAAGTCTTTAGCAAACGCTTTCAGCCGGCTGACATGAAGGCATCGTGAAAAGCGCGCAGCTCAGTACTTACGCAGTGGATGTAGTGACCTCCTGCCAGGTTTTGGTGATGTTCTGTTTCAGCTCATTAAGAGGAGTGATGCCCAGCTTCCTCTTAATTTCAGCCAGCTGCTTGTCTTTGGATGCCAGCACCTGGGACAGAGTCTGGATCTCATCTTCGACCTACACACACACACACACACACACACACACACACACACACGCGCACACGGACGTCATATTTGATTCTACATATAAATCTGTACCCCAACATGTAAAGTCTGGCTCATCCAGTATTTGCCATTATAAAAAGATCCAAATTCAAAACACATTTTTTTCCAGGTCATAAAACTCCACCATTGTTTAACCGCATGACCGTGGCGACATTTCCAATTTATTTGGAGCCAGTCCCCACAAACACCAACGTTCTGCTGTTACAAATACAAATTATCTCATTAAATCTGCAGTAAATACATTCGACAAATGAGCCGTTTGATCAAAATACTTTAAATCGACTGAACAGAATGACTGTTCTCCAAATAACTCGTTAAAAAAAAAATTATTATTTGAGCCTTTTAGCCTTTATCTGATAGAGGCGGACAGGACAGCATGGAGCCAGAGAGGGCGGGTGACAGGCCGCAGCAAAGGCCCTGAGGCTGAATCGAACCCAGGCAGCTGCAGAGAGGACCGAGCCGTTAGTACACGGGTCACACGCGCCACCAGGTGAGGTCCTGGAGCAACAACATTCAGCTGTTTTAAATAGCTGTGAACCGTTTTTTAAGTGAAAAGGCCTGAACTTAGCTTCTCAGTGGTTAAAGAGCATGGCATGTTCCCCCATGCGTGGGTTCTCTCTGGGTACTCTGGCTTCCTCCCACAGTCCATCCTGTCAGGTTAACTGATTATCCCAAACTGGGAGCGTGAATGTTTACCTCGCTCAGACCAACATCTCTTCTATTAAATCTTTGACCCCTCCTGACCTTAGCCAGCTCCTCCTGCAGCTCCTGACGCTCTTCCTCTGTCAAGTCGGGCGTTGTTGAGGACGCAGCGCCAACAGACGTCACTGCATCCTCTCCCACCTCTGGGGCCGAGTCCGGATGGCCCTGGGAACCTGGGAGGTAAAAAAAGAAAAGAAAGAAAGAAAAGAAAACAATGTTTTTGACTCAGCAAGAAGTGCAAAATTTAATGAAGTGATCTCTTTCTAAAGATAAACAGACATGTCTGGTGATTTAACATGTGACAGAGATTAAGAAGTGAAGCTTTCCACAATTCTTCCTGCACAGACCAGCTATACCATCTCCCTCACACACACGGCATATAGAGTACAAACTTGTCTTGGATGTTGATGACTCTGACAGAGCTGTGCTCAGCAGGAACAAGAGCGCATCAATAATACAAAGAACTTTCTAGATGGAGACATCCTCGGCTCAGACAGTGTGAGAGGAGTTGTTGTTGGGATCTGTGAAACAAAAGTACGACACCCAATAACGATGTTCTGGGCCAGAAGTGAGCTGGAATAGGGGAAACAAAAATCTCTCCCTGAGGTCATTTTTTTTTTTTTTTGGTATCTAGTCAAATTATTTCAAGGAAGTTAAAGTATAGACGCAAAACCCAAAATAGGAGAGTATGAAAAAAAAAAAAAAGGAAAAAGGGGAAACCCCAGAGCTGAATAACTCAGTGTGAGGGGAAGAATACAAGAAAAAGGAACTGCTGGAGTGAACTTCATACATATACAGTGTTGTTACCTCAGCGTGGAGGCAGAACCATCACACAAAACAGAGAAGAGTGTAAGTTTCATTAAAGCGTTGGCTCAACCTAACGAGTAAGAGAATTTGGCCATGTGCAATTTTCTCAGCAGACTGGGGTTGTAATAATTATGTAATAACAGTGAAATATATGTAATAGTGCAAGAGTGAAATGAAGACATCAGGTGCAGCTTCTGTGTATTTGCAGCTGCTTATTATTATTCAGGATTTAAAAAGAAAAAGTGCATTTGAAGGTGGTCGCGTAAGCAGCCAATCATTATAGTTTGACCTGTTCACTGCATGAATATAGGAAATGTTCCTCTCAGTGACTGAGCTGTCCCCCAGCTGGGGTCAGGATTTGGCATAAACAGCAAAACGCACAACATCATTTTAGCCGGTGATATATTTTGTTTCCACACGGAGGCTGCGGTGAAACGCGCAATCTCGCCAAAAGGAATGGTACTTGAAATACATCTTCATCTCCAGCCTCCTCCTCCCACTTCATTCCAAATACTGAGAACACCCTTTCTCTCTTTCAATGCGGACCACTGTGAAGACGTGAGATGGAGACAGAAAAAAGAGAAGAAAAAAAATAACTAAAAAATAATCACATAAATCTAGCAGTGCACACTCCCACAAAGACAGCGGGATTGCCTCACGCCGTCTGGAGAGCCGTTAATGAAATAACGTTCCTCTGCCTTCAAAACACACATTATTATCACGAGCTGAGGGAGCCGTGCCATTAATTGCTTCTCCTTTTACATTTAATTAACGCCAGGGGACAAGGCGAGCGGATTGGACACCTCGCAAGTGCAAATATTTATATGTCAAAACACGCTTTGGCGAGAGAAGTGAATCCGAGGCAAATTGTTTCGACGAGGAAACGGAGATGGGCATTATGGTAATCAGGCAAAAAGAACCACAGAGGAAATTCTCATTTAGCCCTCAGTCCTGAAACCACCCCCTCTGTTCCTGTGGGGTGTTTCACTTCATCTGCCCTTAAGCGCTTTTCCACTCTCTTTTGAATTTACCCCCCTCTTCTTTCTACTAGTGATACAGCACTGACACCATATATGCAGACAAATCTGCGTACTACAACATCACAATTTTGCAATAGACACTTCCTGTTATAACGGCTGTGCTTCAGCCAGATAAAGAAAAAAATAAGACACCACCCTTTTTTTGTAAATTTTAGTACACATGATGTTTTGATAACCTACAATATGCTGCTCAGGAACTCATTTTCTTCAAGCACATCGGGTTATGTAAAATTCTGGGCACCTCTGTAAATGTCTTGTAGGTGTGTTTCCATCAGTAGGTGCTAAGAGCATGAGAGGGGGAAAAAAAGAAACAAAGGGAGAGTCAGAGAGAGAAACAAATAGAGAAGTTTATATGCGAGTGTAGGCAGAAGTTTGGCTTGCGACATCAAACTGCATACTCACCCACATCCCTGCCCAACCTCTATGGTTTGAGTTCATTTCCTCTTAACAATCCTGCCCTATGAGCACCCAACTGTGTGTCTGTCAGTACTGTAGCAACGACGAAGACGTGCACTTAAATAGAGACCACGAGCTTTTTGATTGTCCCTCTTTTCCTGTGATAAGCGATAAGCAGCGAGGTCGCCTAGTCATCGGATAGCGGTAACCACGCTAATGCAGCTTTCATAAAGGGCCAGACGACACACCAATAAACATGGAAATCAATAAAGTTGTATTACACAACCAGAATGTTACGAAAGAATAAGATAAGAATGACAGTGTGCATAGGAAGCTATTTGTTCACCTTAATGGGCTCTATTGTCTCATTTGAGTTATATCAAACTCAATCCTTACACACTTTTGTGTGTGTGTCTGCACACAAACAGCTCCAAACATGACGAGGAACATCCTTTAAGATTTTCCATCTCTCCCTCTCTCTCTGTGTCAAACTTATTCTCATAAATACGACCTACCTCAAACGCCTCATGGAAATTTCATCAAATTTGCACAGAGATTTAATTGGACTCAAGAGGGAATTAATACTGGTAGTCAAAGGTTAAAGGTCATCGAGCACACTGTCAACCATAACCAATTAGAAGGAAATTTAGCATAAATGCTCAGCAGGGTAAAATGACGACATTTAATATAAAAGCGGCAACTTGACTGATACGTGCGGTTTTCTCTGACATTGTGGTGCCTAAAATATTGGCCACCTTATTATGTAAACAAACACGCAAGCGAACACAACAGGAAATGTGACAGTCAGCGATCCGGATACCTACAATCAAAACTCTCCTCTTAAGGAAATACTTAGAATTAGAGCTTGTATTAAAAGAAGCATCCAGCTGCGTCGAGGCACTAAACCCATTCTGTGTTATTTGCAACTTTCAACAGTGCTAGCGTTAAAGAACATGCGGCATAAAAACCTCAGCATGAACAGAAACTACGAGGACCTGGGAACACTAAGACACATGGAGCGCGCACACAGCCAGGGTCGTGGCAAGGAACAGAGGAAGATGAGGAATTTAATTCACAACAACAGGTGACAACAGGAGGAAACACAGCTGGAACTAATCTGAGTAACAGAACAGGAGAAGCAAAACTGAGCATAACACACATGAGACGAGGCACCGTCAAAATAAAACAGGAAGTGACATACACATGGCGACCCAGACGAGGACATGAAAGCTTGACAGTAGGACAGGAGGTAAACGGACACGGAAGCACGTGGCAGAGTGGGGAGACAAAGAACGTGGAAACAGGTACAGGAGACAGAACATAGAGACGCAGACTATGACCAACGGGACATGACAACAAGACTGACATCCACAGGAGACACCGAGGACAGAACACAGGGACGAGACATGAAAGGAAACTAATATCAGACTCAGAGACTCTAGAAAGAACCAAACTCAAGACTAAACCGTACAAAACTAAAACTCTTAATCATCTTCATGACGCAAAGGAAAGAATAATGAATTCACACAAAACTTGAAATCCTGGCTCACAGACCCAGGTACCATGACAACAGGAGGTTCCTACCGCAGCTGAATGAGTCTGTAATGGGAGGAATGATGGTTGGGGAACAGATGATGAACACTGCTGCCTGTGAGAACTCGTTGGAAAGGCTTAATTGTAAAAATGAGACAAAATCAAAGCATAACTCGATATGGACAGTCTGTACTGGACGTTGCAAAAATGTAACCCAATAACTTATGGTACAAACTGTGTATCTCACTCTGTGTCCGTCTTGTTCTGTCTTTTTCTGTTTATATCTAACTCAATTGGATAAATGTTCAAAGACGGCGTGATAAAGAGCTGAAAAACTTTAAACTACTGCAGCGAATACTTCTCTTTTTCCCCAAAACAGAGAAACGGACAGTTTTACAGTCATTGCATCCTTATTTTCTACATTTCTAGGAAAAAGAAGGAAAACGCGGCGCGCCGTGTGGTACAGCAGCATAATTATGACTGAAGTTTAAAGAGTTATGATGGTCTGAAATCAACACTGTCTGAGATCTAGAAACATCTAAATTGAGAGAATGCTGTCATACGCATCGCCGACAATCATCATTTGTTCCCTCCCCCTCCAGTTTGTGCCCCCACCCCAAATTCTTCCTGTTCAATGAACCAAACCCATGTTTTGTCTTTTTATCCAGCAAGCGCGCACACACACACACACACACACACGCGAAAAACACACACCCTTCACTCGGCCTCTCCCTTCTCTCCTTGTGATTACCTCTGGTTTTGATAGCTGGCGAGCTGGGCGGTGTGTCGCTTAAGGCTGGGGAGAGGTAGAGATAGCTGGTGTTGACTCCTTGTTCAAAGTCAAACGGAGAGCGGTATTCCTCCAGAGGGTCCATGCTTTATTCTTTACAGCTCTCAGCGTGTTGCCGGCCGGAGCGACTACCACCTCCTTTTTACCAGCACTACCTAAGCAGAGCCAGCCGAGTGCTTATTGCTGATTGTTTGCATGTGACCCAGGCGCGTGCTGCTTGTGTCCGTTTCCTTCTTTACTAGACATGCGGAGACACACTCGAGTGTCCAAGTGTGTGCATGCACAAGGAAGGAGGTTTTGTATCGGCCCTCAGGTAGTCACAAGGTGAGAGTGACTACAGTGATGCCAATTTCTAAATATCGGTTTCTGTTTTGGGCCAAGGTGTAGTGAGCCCTTTGCTCCTGTCTTGCTGTTAATAAGTTACCTGTCCCCTCAAGCAGCTGTTGTAGCCGGCTCACACACACAGACACACAAAAAACACACCCTCCCACTTCCTCTCCACTATAATCCCAAAGGTCAGTTCTTAGTCCATCCCGCAGACCGTGAGCGCCATCGCTGTCATTTTTGTGTGCTTAGCTGCTGTTGCGATACCGCACGGTACTCCTGTTCCAATACTCTCGGGTTCCGCCGCCAGTTCCCGCCCTCCCTCGCTTCCCAGCCTGTCAATCGAGGAGTACATGAGAGCGACCCCATTTGTGTGGGCCGGTCATGCGATGTGATTGTGTGGGGGCGCATTAGATGAAAAGCATAATCTGCAGTGTCCCAGATTACAGTAAAGCTCTAATCCAGGGTGGACAGTCCAGCTTGAAGCAGCGGTAATGCTAGTCAGCTAGAAAGGAGAAGAGAGGGTGCCAGAGGCTACGCGAAGTGGTAGAGGGAACAAGTGCTAGATTGTGTACTCACACAAACTGCTTGCCACAATGGCATTCTCTGAACTAGAAAGCTCCTGTAATGCAAGACCTTCATCACATGAAAACAAACTCTTTTAATCGAGTTTTTCCTCGCCTGAAAGCAGACTTTTTCTTTTGCATTACGACACGGCACAGAGCTGTGACATAAAGCAGGTATTTAGGCTGCACAAAGAGAGGAAAACATAAGTGCAATCCTTGTCACATTTCAATCAAATGTGCAAAAAGCAGCGTAGATGGCAACATATTAGACACTGAAGCTTTCAAGGTTGCGTTGAAAAAGAAAAGCAGCACAAGTTTTATGACGGTGAACGGACAGAATCCCTGAAAGAGCTCGAGAGCATTGTGGAAGGAGGTACAAAACAAACATCGGCTAGTTTAAACAGAGTGAAGCCGACTCAAAGCAAGATCATATACTGAGTTTTTACTGGTTTGAAACTGAGGTCTGGGGGTTATCAGCTCAGTTACTCACCTAGTAATTTACCTTTAGTTAACAGACGTGTCAGACGAAGGCTTTCCTGTTAGTTCTGGACATTTAATAATCAAAAATGTATTTTATATTTAAGCAAATGTGCAGGGGGGGGGGCTATCCAGGCAATCACAGGGAAAACAGAAAGGGTTATATCAAACCCCTCTTTAAAGAAATGCATTCAAATATATTTCAATTACTACCCTGATGATTTTCCTTTGGGGAAAGCCCAAAACGCTTCAGTAGATTTACGATTTTTTATTTCTTCCCTGATGTATAATAAGTAATCCCAGCAGACTCAACCACGGATGTAAAATTGCCCTAAAATTACTCGATAACTTTGGAAAGATGTGCTGCAGCACCGGTATCGAGCAGCATTAAAATTGAAGTGGTAAAGATTTAAACTCTGCAAAGGTATCGCTGCGGGGAAAATTAGCACATTAGTACAGAAATGTTCACAGGGAAATTTAAAAACTATGTACATAAATGACGAGCTCCCTTCAGGCCTGTGCAGCCACCATTCTTCTGTGCAGAAAGCCAGACGTGCATGTCTGCTTGATCCTCTCCAGGAAATGCCTTACATTTAGAGAGAAGGAGCGGTGCTCTCCTGAAAGTATTGAAACACTAGGGGACAAATTCCACGATTAACTAGAGTCAAAAAAAAAAAGTTGACATTTTTTCCTCCTACATATTTTGCACAACTCAACATTTGAGTCTCTTTAAATCAGTACCTGTGGATAAAGTTAAACACAGCAAGGAAACTCTTATTGAAAAAAAAAAGAAAAAGTCTTTGATATTAGACCGAACTCATCGAGTTGCTCAGTTTCTGAGGCAGCAAAGCAAATCAACATTTTGCACCTTACTGTAAGATACGAGGCTCTTCTGCAATGCTGTTCTTCTGCGCCTTTTAATCCACAGGCCTGATCCGTTTCCTGCATGTTCACAAGGAAACTCAAATTCTGCCTTCTTAGAATCAAAGGCTGGTTTGTGGGAAAGCCTCCCATGTGAATGTTTGCCCTCTCGTTCTCACTGTAGATGAACGCGCTTTGAGCTACCTGCAGACACTGTGGTGATGTTTTTTGGTTGGTCTGCTGTTTGGTTGGGCAGATAGGAAAACAGTTGAAATCTGCACCAGCAGTAGTGACACGTTTTCCACTTTCAAACAATTTGGAGATCCTATTAAAATCCTCATCAGACTAAAACAAATTTTTTTTTTCCCTAAAGCTCTTGGTCTGATGGCATCCCACACCTTAAAAAGGAAAAATACAAATAAAAAAAAACACAGCACTTGCTGAATAAGCAGGTCATAGTTATGGTCTGATCTCATTTTCAACTGTAAGCAATGTTTCAAAGACATAAACATGCCAACCAGCTGAAATGTGGAAAAAGCCAATAATCTTAATGGGACTTACTTATTTTTCTACTTAACTGTACATCAAAGTGATGAACATGTTCATTTTTTCCATTTGAGGAAAACAGGTGACTAAGAGTAACTCAGTATCAAAGAACCCCCACTATGGCAGCAGAGGTATTACAATGATGGTGACAGGGAGATGATGAGTTTCAATGTAACAGCAAACCCTACAGTACACATGACAAGTCTGTAAAACAAGTTGTTGGTCATATAAGGCTAAATAGCATAACACTACAGCTACACTAGACAGGCTCCACAACACAGCTTTTCTATTTAGCAAGGTCAACCCAGAAGTAACGGCAAACTATCAAGCCTCAACGTGCAAACAACAGTCCAATATAAACGTCTCAGTAAATGTACGAACACATTCTCTTAAAACAGTCTAAATGGTTAGTATTACTGGCACTTCTTTCAAGTACTCCAGCATACAAACAGCCTCCAGTGCTGAGAGTCATTACACATTCGCTTGGCGGCTGCAGGTAATATTTCTCTGGTTTCTGTAACTTTGGGATTTCCTGACAACAGATATTTTCCCCTCTCAACTGGCATTTTATGACATTCCCCACAAGTCAGCCACAACATAAACAATAAGAAATTATGTCCCTCGGCAGGTTTGTTTTTGTGACTTTGCATACTCCCAAAAAGAGGAAGTAGTGTTCACAAAGACTTTGTGGTTCACTTTGTGGAAGCCAGACAAGGGACGGGTAATCAGAAGGAAATGTGAAAGAGCTGAAAGTGATTGTTTCAGGCAGAATGAGCTGAAAGCCTCTATGAGGGTTCGGTTTAGCAGAAATTTTTTTTTTCTTAAACTGGGAAGTCTCAGAATACAAATATAGAGGTAAATATGAATACAAGAGGTCCTCGTTAAGATGCAAGCACAAATACTTTTCTACAAGAATCCTTCTGTACTGAAACGGATCAAACCAGCACACTCATTTTTCTATCTTAGCAAACAGTATCTCTCTCAGCTAGACTGGACAGGCCTCCCAACATGATGAACTCAACATAACTCCCTCCTGATCAGTGGAGCCCCTAATCCATGTGATACTTGTTAAAACAACGTACACAGACACACGTGCACACAAACCAGTACGCTTGTATAGCTATATTATTAAAAATGATGAAAGTCAAGGTCACAAATCAGACATTTTCACAGAATAAGTTCATGCCATTAAAACATCCCATTTGATTTATAAGACAAACAGAAACACAAATCAACCCCTGCCGCGACTGTGACCGTAAACACAAACAAACAGCCATTTTAGAGCGGCTAATGAAGCACAGCGCACGATCAATTACCTTACTATTCAAAGCAGGGCCTGTCACACGATTAGCCTAAACAGGAATCATGAGACATGGATAACTGTGGATACTTTAACTAGGCCCACAAAGCATGAGATGTGCATGATGGGAAGTGGCTACACCTCAGATGGACACCGATACCGTACATGTGCATTCAATCTAGACTCTTGGCTACACGACTTAAGACAAACATGGAGATGAAAGCTGATTAAAGTTAGTCTGACAGGCTGGGGGAAAAAAAAATCTCCTCTCGATCTGTTGCTTAAATGTGAAGCAGCTGCTTGCAGATAGTTAGCGCACAACTGGAAACAACTGAAAACAACTGGAAACAGCTAACCGACCCAGAACACAACTGTACATGAACCATTCAAACTGGAAAAGGGTGTCAATCCTCTCATCCTTCAAACAACGGTAAACACTAAAAATGGGTTGTTTCTCCAAATACAAGGTCTAATGTATGGCAACAGATTGGAAAGGTGTTGTTGTGTGGCCTACTTCCAAAACAGATTCACCATCTTACGTACTCTATTTGCACTACAAATACAGGACATGGTGTATAGAGCAGCACGGTAGTACAGCACATTAAAAAAGTAATGAAACCAAAACTTTCTGCAGTCATTATACATCTTAGCCGGGCTTAAGATGATACCAATAAACGCTAAAAGTTTACGTTTTTCCCTGATTGTGTTACAAAACCTTAACTAACTGAAGTGATGGAGTTTAGATGAAAACAGCAGGTATCGGACAGGAAAAAAGGGTCTGCCAAACCTTCTACTGTCATGTAAGGTACCGATTAAAAGATAATGAAAGCAGGGACAGAAGTAACCTGAAATAAAAAAGACCTTTTGGTTAATTGGGAGTAATAATTTATATCTCTACTGAACTTTCTTTTAAATAGTTTATCAAAGTTTCTGTCTGCAGTCTTTCACTGGAAAATAAACTACCAGGCAGGTGAGAGTGCTGCTTGGCCAAATCTCACAAGTCGGTGAAAAATTCTCCATAAAGCTGTACTGAAAGTAGTGGAATTTATTGACCTTTGAGTTTCTTTTTCGTTCAGTTTAACAGAGCCTGATCACTGCATTTTACTGCTGAAATGTCAAACAATTCAGATAAATATTAAATGCATTGCACTGTGATGTATATATTTAGGTTAAAAGCACCTTTGCCTGAGTATTCTCTCAAACTTCAGATTTTTTGGACCAGCATAAAGTATCTTATACCATATTTGCCAACGTTTTCTTTCAGGCAACTATCAGGTCCACATACAAAGTTTTCAAATAGACAGCTGCTGTTCCCTTTAATCTTTGAAATGAAATGTGCAAACCTGGCGACACCAACGTTCAAAGTTACAGCTTTCAAGGCTACAGCTTCTCGCATACATCAAACCCTTCCAAAAGTCCTTTGAAAATGATCTACGACAGCCATGACTGCTGACAGGTGTATTTCTGAGTAATACTAATGGTTTTGGTAAACACACATCTGGTTTTCACTAAATGGGAGGTCCAGCCCAGACTGACACAGCTTGTAGCCCAATATGACATTTATTGGCATGACTGAAAAAAATCAT